GTTTTGAGAATGATGAGGGCAATGAATGTACAAATGCGCTTTACACAATTGTATGTATGGATTGTGATAAGAGTTGTATGAGCCCCTAATAAAATTGTTAGAAAAAAAAAAAAGAATTGCCCCTTGAGGTTTCTGAGACTGCAAATCTTTATGGGTATACAAAGCCTCATGTTGCTCTCATGGAGCAGCTGGTGGTTTCAGCGATTGGCAGCCCAACGGTAACCCTAGCCCATTCAGCCACCAAGTCTCCTGTAGAAGAAGGAAAAGGACAGTTATCTGTCAGGAACTCTCACCCTGAAGGCCTGGAGCCTGACAGTAAAATAATCTGCAAACCACCAAATCGTTTGTCAAATGTGTGTATGATGTGTGCTAAAGAGAGTCTGTAACTAGCCCGTCTCTCAAGAGCACACACACACACACACCACAGCCAAAAAGGTAACTTAAAGGAGAGTCAATAGCTGATTCTAATATGAGAATAGTGCAGACTGTGGACACCTGAAAAACACGTTTTGCATACAAGGGGAAAACCACTGCTCAGTTTCATACGATTGATAGTAGCCGGTAATGCCAGCCCAGTAATTCTGACATTCCCTTCAACAGATGAATGGAGAAACAAAATGTGATGCCTATATATAAAGAGGCTTCGAAAAGTTCATAGAAAATTCTGTTATCTAAAATGAGCTCAGTTAAGCTCCATTTTGAATCTAGTGGCTGCTTGACCTACAAAAGGCTGCTTCTGCTGATCTGAAGAGAGATTTGTCGATTTATTCAAGTTTAACTGCTTGCACCCTAAGAGGAATTCTTTGTTAAAAAGGTGTTTGTCAAGAGTCTTTGCGTGGCTTGGGCCAAGAATATGCCATGTACAACAGGTCCCGGGGGGTTAACGAACAAAACACCCCATCGCATTGTCACCAAGTCATTTCTGACTCACAGTGACTGTAGGACGGAGTGGAGCCGTCCCTGTGGGATTGTGAGACTGTAACGCTTGACGGGAATAGGAAGCTTCATCTCTGTCCCCCATGGAGCAGCTGGTGGCTTGAAACTGCTGACCCTGCAGCCCAACGCATACCCCACTACGCCAGCAAAGCCTCTTCAAGGTGAGGAAATTAAAACGATATTAAGAAAGGTGGTAGTTTATCAACCCTTGTAACATTTTGGGGTTTTTTTTGGAAGGACTCGTTTTATTTTTTGCCCTGGTAGAGTAGTGACTGCACCCTTGTCGCCGTCACACAGGTGAACTTGGAAGACAAAGGAGCCCTGGCTAAGCTGGTGGAAGCCATCGGGACCAACTACAGTGAGAAATCTGCTGTGATCCACCATCACTGAGCCAGCGGCAACATCCTGGGCCCCAATTCAATGGCTGGCATCTCCAGGCTGGAAAAGGCGAACGTCAAAGAATTTGCGACCAAGCTG